CTCAGTTAACAGTACAATAAGATACGAAGTTAAGGCTTAAGACATACATCAATTTACTTAATTCTCACAACTCTATGAAGCAAGTGTATTACTATCTTCATTTAACAAATGCAGAGACTGAGGCATTGTCTTCATCAAGGTCACAAAACAGTATCAGAACCCAGGCAGGCTGATTCAGCTGTCCATCTTCCCAATCATCATGTCTTAGGGAGCACTGGTAGCCTAATGGAAAAATGTGCTGGAAGCCCAAAGGTACACAATTTGAATCCACCAGATGCTCTGCAGAAGAAAGACAGGCAATCTCCTTCCATGGGATTAACTGCCTCTAAAAACCTGCTGGTGGGTCAGCTATGGGTTGGTTCCAACTAAAAAGTACACAATAGTGCAACAATGAATGAATGGAAACCCAAAATCTCTGTAAATGTTCATTAAAATTAATAAAATTTCATTTAAAAAAAAAGTACACAACAACAATATATTCTTTAAAGGGCTCTGGTGGTCCAGTGGTTAAACACTTAGTTGCTAACCAAAAGACTGGTAGTTCAAATCCACCCAGTGGCTACTGGAGAAAAAGATCTGGGTATCTGTTCCTATAAAGATCACAGATTTGGAGCTCTGGTGGCCAAATGGCAAGAAGCTGCGCTGCAATCCCGAAGGTGCACGAGGTTCAAATATATCAGATGCTCCGCTGGAGAAGGAGGGGCAATCTCCTCCTGTATCAGTTGGATCCAAAGCAATGCTACACACACACACACAAAAAAAAAAAAATAAAATAAATTCTTAAAAAAAAAAGATTACAACCTTGGAACCTATGGTGCAGTTCAACTCTATGACATGTGGTTGCTATGAGTCAAAAACCAACTTGATGGTACTTTAAAACAACAATATGCTTTTATATACAGGGTAGTAAGAGGCCACAGAGGAGAAACACTTATGTGGAAGGTGAGCCAGAGAAGGTGCTGAGCTGAGAACTAAACAAAAGTAAAAGGTAACACCTGGCTAGGCAGCTCTGGTAGCCTAGTGGCAAGATGCTGCACTGCAATCCTGAAGGCACGTGGTTCGAATCCACCAGATGCCCCGCGAGAAGGAGGAGTAATTGCCTCCTGTGCCAGGTGGATTTGAAAGATTCGATAGTATACAACAATAATTAAAAAAAAAAAAGGTAACCTGGCTGTAAAGGAAACAGCACTAGCCTGGAAGGGGGCTGAGTGTACAAAGGTATAGAGTCACGAAACAGCCAGGTGAAGAAATACACATCCTATTCCTGAACCTCTGGGTACATATTGGACGTTAGGAGGGATGTGGGTCAAATCATTGAGCGCTTTGTAAAATATGCTGGGAGTTTGCCTTTTCACCCAGGCAATGGGAAGACATCAAGGGGTTTTAAGCAGGAGAGTGAAGCTATCAGAGTTGTTTTAAAAGATCACAAGAGTTGCAATTTGGAAGCAATCATGACTAGAAGTTGTCAGGAAACACAACAGTCACCCTGGTGAGAGACTTATGGATAAGGATGATGACTGAAGAGATGAAGGAGTGGGATCAAGTCTGGAGACTGTTCAGGACATCAGCTATATTAGCTCACCCATCAGATGCTGGAGCTGGGAGAGCCTAAGGCAAGTCTCAGGTTTTAGGGTGGATAGAATCACAGAGTAAGAATGAATCTGCAAGGTGTAAGATCAGCTCAAGTTTAGACAGAGCGAGTTTGAAGTTTCCACCTCGTGAGTGAAGCAGTCCAGCAGGGAGATGGAAGGCCAAACCTGAGGCTCCAGGTAGGGGCTCCACTAAACACACAGACGTGGGCATTTTGTGTATCCAGCAAGCATAAAACTGGATCCTGGAAGATGAGACCATCCAGATTCAGTGTATAGAATTAAGGAATAGTAAGAGGAGTATGTGAAGGTACTATCAGAGCTATAGGGGGGAAAACAGGCACTGAGTAGGGGCCAAAGGTAACAGGGATGGCACCAAAGGTAAAGAGTTCTTGCGGTGGTTAAGTGCTTGAAAAAAAATCAGCAACTCCAACCTATCAGCTGCTCAGTGGGAGAAAGATGTGCTAACTTGCTTCTGTAAATAGTACAGAATAGCAGTTCTGCTCTGTCCTGTGGTCAACATGAGTCAGGGTCAACTAAACAATGGGTTGTGGGTTTTTGTTTTTATCACTAGTGTTAGACACCCGTAAGAAATCAAGAAGGATATTTTAAGGATCCTTTTGATTTTAAGGAGGTCTGGTGATGCTGTAGTCGCTGCCAACTAAAAGGCTGAGGGTTTCAACTTTAAAACAACAACATGCTCTTATAAATAGGGTACTGAGAGAGAACGGAGGACCCACATATTGCTGTGCAGGAGAAAGATGAGGTTTTACGTTAATCTATAAAGACTTACTTAATCTTGGAAATTCCATGCAACAGTCCTACCCTGTCCCGTGGAGTCTTCCAAAAGTTGGGAGTCAACTCCACAGCAATGAATTGGGGTTTGATAACAAGTAAGGAGGCCTGGTTGAGATAGAGCAATGGTTAAGCGCGTGACTGCTATTAGAAAAGGTAGTAGTTCAAATCTACCAGCCGCTGCGGGGAAAGGGATCCGCCTCTGTCTTACTCGGTCCTATAGGTCACAATAGGAATCGAATAAATGACACACAGTAATAATAAAGGAAATCATTCGTGGTTCTTTCCAAAGAAAGTTGAGGGAGGAGTTCAGATGACAGTGAAACGGACTGAAATATTAGATTTTTTTTCCTTCTTATTCTCAGATCCTGAGCTGATCCTATACCCAAGTGAAGACCCTAAATACTCAGCTACATTCTTTTTTGCCTCTGCCACTGCAATTAAATGGGAAATTTCAGTTAACAACTCCCGGCCTGCCTCGGTAGCCAGCCTCGGATGAGCAAAGCAGCGGAGGGTCGGATTCCAAGCCCCTAAAGGCAGCACGGGGCGGAGCAAAGGAAGAGGGCGGAACTTGGGATACAGGGGTGAGGGAAGGGTCGGACGGAGCCAAGAACGGACACCCGGCAGGGGGGAGCGGGACCCACTGGTAAAATACAATCCTTGTACTATCACCTCAGCCCTCATGACTGCACCAAGACCCACCTGCTCCATGTCAATCATGACACTGCGTCTTCCTGCTCCGGTCACGGTCCAGCTCCGCGGCCCCTGCAGCTCCTGTGAGCGGAAGGGAACCTCCCAGCACCGCCACTTCCGCTCCTGAGTCCACCCCCGAAAGTGAACGGAGACTGACATAGCTCTCAGCCCCGCCTCCTCCGCGCAGGCTCCGCCCCTGGAGTGTTCAAGCTCTACAATGACTGAAAGTGGGGCTACAGTGAAAAGTTAGACTTTAAACCCAGGGGCGGAGAAGAGTAGAGGGGTGAGGGTGGGCAGGGCAGAAAGTAAGGGGTCACACGATTTGGTGGGTGGAGGGAGGGGGTAAAGGAAATGGGAGAGATTGGTGGGGACTTGAAAAGACCAGGTAAATGGTGGGCCTAATTCAATGGGGATTGATTTTTTTTATTATTATTAGAGAGAGAGAGAGAGTGTGTGGTGTGTGTGTGTGTGCCGTCAAATCAGATCTGACTGGTACGGGAGGAGATTGTCCCTCCTTCTCCAGCAAAGCATCTGGTGGATTCGAACTGCTCACCTCTGGGATTGCAGTGCAGCTTCTTGCCACTAGGCCACCAGAGCTCCCAATGGGGATTAATTTTATAAAACAAAATGTATGGAAATGATTGTATGAAACACAATGTGAATGAAGGAAAGTGCGAAACACTTTTGTATGCCAACCAATATAAAATAATTTTTTTAAAAAACGTTAGACTTTGAGAGGATTTTCCTAAGAGTAGGAGGAATTGGAAATAAACTCGGGGCTGTCATCGTCATAGGACCACAAAGTCTTTGTACTGTGGAAAAAGGGGGCATTTCTTGAGAAGTTATTTGTGATCATGAGAGGGAAGGTCTCTTGGAGAAATAAGCAGAAATTCTTGAAGCCTTCCTCTTTCCCACTCTCTTTCAGCTATTCCTAGCAGGATCTAGAATTTCTGTAGAATTTCAAATACATCTGATCTTGTTTGTTGTCTGCAGAAAAAAAACCCCAAAATTGCTAGACTAGACAGTTGGACACTAGTGTCTCCACCGCACCATAACCACCAACACTGTAGGACCACTAATCAGGTCTGTAACATCAGTGACCCTTTCTGTATCTCCCTCACCCTACTCCTCTCCCCTGAATAAAGAGTCTCAACACAGTTATTTACAAAGATTTATTACAGCACAGCAGGGGTTTCAGACCTGGAGTCAGGGAAGAGGGGGAAAGGGGCAGAGCAGCTGGAGGAAAAGGAGAACCTGGCTAGCCCACCATGTACCCCCAACAAGGATGCATACTAGGCGGCATTCCTGGCATCGAAGCACAAACAAAACGCAACAAAGCAGCCTCTGCCAGTCCATCTTCTAGGCACCCAAGCGAGGGAGTAAGGGTGGTAAAAGGTAGATTTCCAAAATACTTGGGCTGTTGAGGATGCCCAAATCCTGGGTCCTGGTAGAAGCTGCTAAGGGGGTAATAACTTGAAACCCCCCCCCCCATATGAGAGGAGATGAAGAAGAACTCAAGGAGATTTAGGTTCTCAGTACCCTCTTTTCCCCAGATCTTAGGGTCCTGCCCTGTGGTCTCTTGTGCACAGGGAAGGGGAGCTGGGGAGTAGAATTGAAGGGTGTACCCTTGTTGCCAGGTTTCCGGATTTTCCAGTGCGGACTCTCTTACATTCTACCTCCCATTGGGTAAATGGGGGAACGACTGGCAGGGGTAGGCATCAGGCAGCAAGTGCCCAGGAACCTGGGCCTCAGCCAAAGGTGGGCAAACAAGCAAACACAGACCAGCTTTAGTCTCCTAGAAGTCAGAAGCCGCAGCCCTAGCAGGTGAGGGGAAGGTACAAAATAGGGTGAGGATAGAATGGGGTTACGGAGAACAGCGAGGCCCCATCCACTTCCTCCCTCCTGAGATGCAGGACTTCAGGCCTATGTGCCAGGCTCAGGGTGGGCAGGGCGTCGTGGCTCCTCCCCTGGCTCTGCAAGACAAGCAGGGAGGGGCTCAGGGGGTTGGCCCCGCCCACCGCAATCCCACGCCCACCTCCCCCAACCCACACCCAGGGTCTTACTGCTTTGCGCTGCATCTTCCCCTTGATCCTCAGAGCTTCCATCTCTCTGGGGCTCATCTAGAGGGGGTGGGCGTTCCCAAGGTCCCTCAAGACCCTGGCCATAGGAAACTTTCTGTCCAGCTGAGGATTAAAAAAAAGAGGATAAAAATACAACCTGCATCCAGCTGCCCTGAATCATGAGCATTGTCTTTCTGATGGTTGATGCTGAGGGCCCCTGTGGTAGAGGGAAGACATAACTGGACTAAGATAACTCTTCCAGTAACTTCCAGTAACAGCTGTGTGACTTAACTGAGTCATTTTTACCCTCTGAAGAGGATAAGCATTGCTTTCCAGTTAATTTCTATTCATAGTAGCCTTCCATCGGGCTTCCCAAGGAGTTTTGGTGGCCTTTTGGGTAAGAAGTTGTGGAATTGGGCTGCCAACCCAAAGACAGGAGGTTCTAATCCACCAGCTTCTCCAACAGAAGAAAGATGAGCAGTGTCTTCCAAGTGATTTATAGCCTCTGAATACCCATTCGACAGTCAGCTATGAGTCAGTACCAAGTTAATGGCACAAAACAACAAAAAAATGGGTTTCTGAGGCTGGAAATCTTTATGAACGGAGACTTCCCATTTATCTCCCTTAGAGCAGCTGGTGGATTTGAACTGCTGACCTTTTGGTTAGCAGTGCAATATGTAACCACCAGAGCTCCTTTGGAAAGGCATAGGAAGAGGGAAATTATGTAAATCACACACAGAAAATAAGCTAACACACTGGCCAGCCCAGTATTGGCACCATAGCTTCTCCATGAGACGCATGGTCTATTTGATCCTTGGTAATTTCATCATTTGACCCCTTCTCCTCAAAGGAACAGTCTCTATCACTTCCTCCACACCTGTTCTGGGGTCTTTGGGGGAGTTGACTCAGCTCTTATAGCCCTGCCACATATGGCTGATGCTTCCACCACTAGAGTTGCAAATAATAGACCAAAACCATTTTGTCTGATTGCAGGGCTAAGTGCTTCAGAGAGGGCTGTTCAGTGGTTTTCCATCCCCCAAAACCATGGTAACATAACACTGTTAACATAACATAGCAGAGTTAGCTGTGCACTAAGAGGGTTAGATTTGGTCCCTAGTTGTACAAATAGTTAATGTGCCTGGCTGTTAACTGAAAGAGTGGAAATTTGAATCGGCCCAGAAGTGCCTCTGAATAAAGTCCTGGTGATCTCCTTCCAAAAAATCAGCCACTGGAAACCTAATGATGCAGAGGTCTACTCTGACGTATATAGGATTGCACAAATATCAATAGCATCAGGCTTCATTCTGTTCTGTTTGTTCGTTTTTCTTTAGGAAAGTTAGATGTGACATAGCCTTCCATGTCCAGATGTGGAAGAAACAAGTGTGGTAAGATGCAATATTTCTACATAGAAATTCTCTGCATCTTCAGGCCCTCTGAGATGTGTTTTGGATCTAGGGCTTCTGGCTTGAGACTGCATGTCTTAAGACCTTCCATGGCTCCTCTTCATAGGCAGCTGGGATGGATTTGAGTGCCCAGGACCAGGAGGATTCCTGAATCTTTGTTTCTTCATCATGACACTAGATGGCACCCTCCCACCCTCTGCCTAGGAAGTAAATAGCCAGAGATTCTGAAGAGGGCTTATCTGACTTCAGACAGAGACCAGACAGTAGGTTCAGAAATGCAAGGTAAAGGGCAATTGGATTCTCTCAGTCCTGTACCCCTGTATCTCCTAGTTCCCCTTTACCCCTATGGATAAAAAATCCTTTCTTAGCTTTAGCCTCAGACCTGTATGCCTTAATTCTTAGGAAATAAGAATTAGGGGAAATTGAATTGTGTATTTAAAAAAAAAGTGTTATAAACCTTAACCTCTATGTTTGTAGTTATAATAGGCAGGATTGGTGCAGGGTGTCTTGAGTCAATCTCTTGTGAAATACATGAGATTGAGCAAGCAAGTGAGCAAGAAGAGAGACGCTGCGTAAAGATCATTCAGGAGCAGGAACCAGACAGACATGGGCCTTCCTCCAGAGGCAAAGGAGAGAAAACAAAAACTTTTTCAGACTTCTAGTCTATGAGAAAATAAATTACTGTTTGTTAAAGCCATTCACCTGTGGGAATTCTGTTCTAACAGCACTAGACCAAGACTAGAAGATCTTACTGCAGAAGATCAAAGACTTCCACATGGATTGTAAAGATCAAAACCCTTCAATATGGGTTACACCTCACATTCTTTTTTTTTGCTTTTTTTTTTTCGGCCGGCCCCTCCCCCCACCCCAGCCTGCACCTCACATTCTTATTGTTGTTATTGTTGTTCTTTGTGTTATCAAGTTGCTTGCTACTCATAGTGATGCCATGTCTATTAGCTCTGAACCCTGCCCTATCCTGAGCCAACCTCATCATTTCCAACAGACCTAAACCCATTTCTCCAGTCACTGAGTTAATCCACCTCATCTTGGGTCTTCCTCTCCTGCGTTGTCCCTTCACCCTTCCAAGCATGATGTCCTTCTCCAAGGACTGGTCTCTTCTGGCCACATGCCCAAAGTATATGAGACAAAACTTCAAAATCCTTTCCTCTAGGGAACTGCCTGATTTCACCCACTCCAGAACAAACCTGTTTGTTCTCCTGGCAGTCCACAGTATGTTCAACACTTTTCTCCAGCACCACCGCTTAGAGGCATCAATCTCTCTTCTATCTATATGTTCTTGGCACACCTCACTTTAGGAAAACAAAAATCCTCACCACTTGACCAATAGGCAACATCATGATAGAAGGAGAAAAGACTGAAGTTGCCCATGATTTCCTTTTACTTAGGTACACAGTCAGCACCCATAGTAGTTGGATGACAGAGAATTGATGCCTTTGAGCTGTGGTGTTGGTGAAGAGCACTGAACATCCCATGGACTGCCAAAAGAATAAACAAATCTGTTTTGAGGAAACTGCAACCAGAGTGCTCCTCAAGGCACTCTGGCAAGGATGGTGAAACTCCATCTCATTTACTTTGGCCATATTCTCAGGAGGAACCAATCCTTAGAGAAAGATATCATGCCGAGAAAGGTGAAGGTCAAAGAAAGAGAAAACTTTTCAACAAGATGGTCTGACACAGCGACCACCACGATGGGACTGAACATGAGATTGTGAGGCTGGTGTGAGACGGAGCAAGGCTCCCATCAGCTGTTCACGGGGCTGCTGTAAGTCAGAGAGACCTCGAGGGCAGCTAGCAACAACCAAGACACAGAGTCACGGACCCGGAGAAGGAAGCCCCGGTCAGAGGCCTCCAATGGGTGAGCAGGATCCTTCTCTGGACGGGGAGTCTTTCTGAGATCCTTGTAGCTTACAAATGTGAGAAACTGTGGGCTGGAGGGAGGTATGCCAGGACTCTCAAGGAAGCTTCACATGTAGCTCATTGTGGGGGACCCCAGCATGTCAGCCCTTCAGCTTACCTGATCCCCTCACGCCCTTCAGGATCTCCGCCTGGCTGTCCTCCTCTTCATCCTCCTCTTCATCCTCCTCATCTTCATCCTCATCATCCTCTCTGGGATAGCCCAGGGCCCGTAGCTCCCCCAGCTCATCCTCCTCCTCCTCTGAGGCCTGGTTCTCACCCAGGTTGCTGATGGACTGCAGGTGAGACTCGGCAATACGCTGCACAGCTAGAATAGGGACCAGGAAGGTGAGGTCAGCCGGGCCCCAAAAGCAGCCCACAGGCCTGGTGCACAATGCAGGTGGAGGGGGGCCAGTCTCCTCCCCGTGGGCCTGAGGCAGAGATAATCCTCGAGGGACTGCAGGTCACCTCACTGGCAGAAGCAGGGGGTAGACTCTTGCTCATGTTTAGCTCTCAAGCTGCCCCATGATGCTATTCCCCTGGAAGCTGGCACCAAGCATCTCCTCTACACCACAGGGTGTCAGGCTGGGCAAGACCAAACAAACGGGCATTGCACAGATTAACATTCTCACTGCTGGACACAGTGTCACAGGGCTGCAGGCCAGAACCTAGCAGATTTGCCTCTTTCAAATTCTGAGGGCCGCCCAGCCTGTCTAGGGCTCACTGCTCTCCCATCCTGCTGGCCATGGACTCAGTTCCCAACTCTTAGCACTGTCCAGTCATAGCTACCACTCCATACTCTCCCACGTCAGGCTCCAAGGTGCAAGGTCCACCAGGCCCCCGAGAACATAATGGTTTGCAGCCAGTGGAGCCCATGGCTGGGGATGCAGCGTGCTCAGATGCAGCCCCCACAATCTTGACCCACATCCCCAAGCTCCCAGCTCCCTCTGCGATGACCTAGAAAGCAGTACACCTCCTCCCCCACCCCCACCCCACACATCCACCTCACACGCCATGCGGGCCTGTTCAGATAAGGCCCAAGAAGGGAACAGTGTGGGCAGCCAGAGCGAAGTTTCCAAAAGATGGAAAGAAGCAGGACACTGGGGGACGTGGTCCAGGTCTGAGAGACACTGGGAGAAATGGCAGAGGTTGAAGTGACACTCTGGCAGTCAGCGGGTACCAGGAAGTGGGGAGGTTTTAAAGCGTCTGGAACTCTTGACTTCACAGCCCATGGAGGAGATGCTAACAGCTAGGGGGTGGTGATGTTGGTTGGCTGCATACCCCTCTAGGTCCACCACTGGGGACGGCCCCCCTCCTCAGAAGGCCCACAGGGTAGAGCCAGGCTGGAAACCTCCGGTGGAGTGAGTGGGGCCTGGTGCTCCTGCCAGCTCCGGGACAGGCACAGAGGGTGCATTGTGTGTGCGAATGCCCCGCCTTGCCCAAGCTCCCAGCCCAGTGCCTCCTGCGGGCACCGGGCAAGTTACCCAGGCAATAAAAGTGCAATAAATTGCCCTGCCCTGGCCTTGGGGATGAGGCAAAGCTTCACCCTAAGCCAAGAGTGTGCCCAAGAGTGATCACTCAGGCCTTGGAGAAACCTGCTTCAAGCTAGGTGTTGTCCATCCCCTCAACCCCCCACCCCGCCGCCCGCAAGCCCCTCAACCCTGCCAGGTATTTATCTTTGCTGGATAGTGGCAGGTCAGTCGTACCTTCCTGGTACAGAGGTGGAGTAAAGGAGGATAGAAGCTGCCTCAAGAAAAGAGAGAGGGTCCTCTGAAGGGTGACAGGGCGGGAGGAGGGAGAGGCGGAGGTGGCCGCATTGGCAGCCTCCCCTTCCCTACAGCCAGTGACAATAGGTGTGTGCAATACCTGTGGTTCCAGTGGGTCTCCCTCAGCACGTGGCTGGCAGGGCTATTGGGTCTACCCCTCACCTCTCCCAGACTTTGGAGCTTTGAACTCTTCACCCCACCCCAATCTCCCTTTTTAAGATCAAAAAATCTCCAACACAGACCCTACCTCTCTCACTTCCCGCATATTCTTATTTAGAGCCCCTCCAAACACGCAAGTCGGAGAGGGCACTTCTGGTCCCTTTTGGGTAAGTAGAAAACACCTTGTCCTTAACCTCTTCTCTATTCACAATCAAAAGCCAGCCGAGGGGACCATTCTGCACCCACTCTCCCCTCTACTAACACACATCCACTTATCAGGAGCTGGGAAAAGGGGGAGGTTTTTTTATTCTCCTCATTCCTTATGACAGATTTTAGGTCTTCCTCATGCCCCGATTTGTGGGGAAGTCCTTCCAGGTGCTGAACCACCTTCCCTCTTGCTGTAGGTCTGTCCTTTCACTTTCCTTAACAGGAGAGGAGGAAGGGTCCCTGTCTTCTCGCCTCTCAACTCCCACTGCTGGCAAGCAGACTGACAGGCGCACCTGTTGACCTTGGCCAACTCTGGGAACTCATTAAACCCACCTCCACCCTGAGGGAGCTCTCTGCACACCCTTCCGGCCTCCCTCTGTGGGAGGAGGGGGGCTGGCTCAGGGCAGGAAGAGCCTCAGGCAGAGAAGTTGAGGGTGGGGGTGGAAAGGCTTCCTAGGACTTCAGCTAGGAAGACTCCCACACACACAAACACACCCAATTTGCCCTACCTTCTCCTCCAGGTATGTGGCCCACCTCTCCCCATCTGGCAGCCAAATCTCCAGAGAAGCTTTAAGACCCTAGGATTTCACACCTCCGCCCTTTGGCATGGTGGCTTAAAGGTAAGGAATCATGCTGCCAACACAAAGGTATCCAGTTCAAATCCAATAGCTTCTTCGCAGGAGAAAGACGGTTAATCTTCTCCAGAGCAATTAACTTCCTCGGAAAACTCATTGGATGGTCAGTTATGGGTCAGTTCCAACTCAAAGGTACACAACAACATCCCTTGGCATATCCTGTTCCTTCTCTCTCTAATGCTGTACCATCCTGTTGAACTCCTATGCAACCTTCAAATCCAGGCATATTCTCCCCAGCTCACTCCTTAAAATGAAGAGAAGGGGTGCAATTCATCAATGTGTGCAGGGAAGCCTGGCACACACTAGGTGTTCAAGAAACAAGTTCGCATATAGAAAAGCAGAATGAAAAGCTTCCAGCACAGCTACTATGCAAACAGGAGGAAAGAGCAGGGGTTCTGAGAGATACTGAGGTGCCTCTGCAGAGTGGGAGGTGGATTAACACCCTTTTGCAAAGAGTAGCTGCAGAGCTTCTCTCTCATTGATTCCTACCTGGTGTTCCAGGCCAGCCACATTTCTCAATTCCAAAGCCCGATTTTAAAGTGCTCTGGTGGCAAAGTGGGTAAGGAGTTGCATCGCCAACCCAAAGGCAGAGGGTTCAAATACACCAGAGGCTCCACAGGAGAAAGATGGGCAATTTCCTCCTGTATAATTTAGTGTTTCTGAAAACCTGCTGGAGGGTTAGCTGTGAAAACTCCCTGGTTTTGATGGCAATGAGAAGGACATGGCCAGCTTCTAGGCTCCTTTCTCTCATCTCCAGACAAAAGAGAGAAGCGGGCTCTAAGGAAGCGTAAGGATGCACAGGAAGATCCTCCTCTCCCATTGACAAATGCTCCTTATCTCACCTTCCTGTACCAGCTCTGGTGGCCTAATGGTAAGAAACTGTCCTGCAATCTCAAAGGCATGCAGTTCAAATCCATCAACTCCATGAGAGAAGGATGAGCAATCTCCAATTTACTGCCTTTGAAAACCTGCAGGAGGGTCAGGTATGGGTTGGTTCCAACTCAACAGCAACTACCTCAGCTTTGGAGGCTTAGTGGCAAGCAGTTACACGGTCCACCCAGAGATATAAGGTTTGAATCCACCAGCTGTGCCACAGAAAAAGATGGTTCTGATTCTATAGTTCTTAACAATAATCAAAGGGAGCTGGTGGCATAGTGCATGCATATCATGTAGGGACTACTAACAGAGAGGTCAGCAGTGCAAGCCCGCCTGCTGATCCTCAGCAAAAAGATGTGTAATCTCCTCCCATAAAGATGTATAGCCTCACCTCCAGAACCCAATGGAAGGTCACCATTAGTCTGACTAAACTCAATGGCAATGGGTTGTTTTCTGTTCCAGCATCACTCCAGTCCTGAAGGTTGGTCACAGAGGTGGGCAGGGTCAGGGACAGTACCTTTCAGAGAAGGGGGTGTGTAGGCACAAGGGTTGGCTCGCTTTGACTTGAGATGGTGTCCTTCTCCAGCAGCTCTCTGCCAGGGCAAGTGTGAAATTAAGTGGGATCACCAGAGGCCCCTTTCTTTCCCCATTCCTCCATTACTTCTCCCCCACACTCCCTGTACCCTGGACAGACCGGTCTGGCCTCTGCTACTGGTCTGGAGCTACTCTCCCTCTGATCCTGCCCCTCCCAAAGCTAAAGTCTCCCCATTGCTTTGGGAGCCCTCATAATTTAGGGAGGACTGTCTCAGGGCCAGGACCTGGGTCTGAGGGAAAAAGAATAAGATCAGAAGAGAATCTAGGGGTGGCACCCTGGCACCAGCCACCACAAGAGGTGGTGCTAACTGACTGCCAAGATGTCCTGGGCTGGTCGTGCCATTTGGGAGACTATCCACCCTCTTCCAAAAGGCCCAGTTATCCCACCATCAGTTGCCCCAGAGAACTCACCTGGTGTGGAGAGGCCTCCTCCTCTGTGGGAAGGCACCAGTGACCCATGAGGACGAAGGTGGAAGAGCGAGAGAGAGGGGGGGAAAAGAGAGATTAGTTTTTCCAAAGGCTCAGTCTCTAGGGAAGAGAATTTGAATTTATGTCCTTTCTCTCCTGGTGCTAAGTGCTGGGAGGGTCCTGGTCAACTTGTGAATCCAGGAGAGTTGGCCTTCTAGATCTCCTGCTCCGCTTGGCCTCCTCCCAGGACTTTGCTGGGGCTCCCAAGAAGGCATCACAATTATAGGGCCAGGGTTGGGGTGACTCCAGGCTGGGGGTTGGGAGAACATGGAAGGGGCCCCACCTGGAGAGGAGTGTTCTGAGAGCCGGAACAGCATGGCGGGGGTTGGTCTCCGGCGCCTGATCTAAAGAAGGCAGAGGAAGGCGGATGGAGAGGTTGCAGACACCTGCTGACCGCTCTCACCCACCCCTGAAACAGCAGGGAACAAACAGTGGTTCCCCCAGGGAACCTCAAAGCTGAAAGGAACTCTGTAACTTACCAACTGTTTCATTTCAGGATCAGAGAAGTTTTGCACTGTGCTCAAAGCCACACAGCACATGAATGCACAGAATGGACAATTAAACTCCGGTCCTGACTCCCAGCCCATGCCTGTCCCACCCCACGGCTATTGCACACTGGCCGTCTCTCTGTCCATCTTCTCTCATCCAAGGCCCTTCCTCTCCCCAGTTTCTGAAAACATTCAACCTCAGGAGGCCAGGTTGGCTCCAGGTGCCAGGGATGGGCCCTCTGGGGAGGATGTCCCATGGGCCATGGCACCCACATGGCCCTGTCCAACTAAGATCAGCTCAAGGGCTCCAAAGAAACCAGATCCAGCTGCAGAGGGAGGCTGAGCTGGGGCACTGCAGGCACCTGCAGCCTCTCACTGAGGCCAGGCTCTCTGGGACCTGGGGGCTCTGGGGGCTGGGTCTGACTCCTTTGGAGCTCTTCCCCTCCCCCTCCTAAAATCAAAAGGTGGCCCTCCCAGGTCCACAAGCCAAGCTGAACAGTGGGGGGGAGGGGGCTGGGGGAGCAGCCCTTAGCACTGCCAGCAAATGCCCACCCCAGCCTGGAAATCAGACCGTCAGTTAATTAGGTCCCCTCTGAGCTCCTGGGAAATTCCAGAGAACCAGGTGAGTCAAGCTGGAACTGCTACCTCCCCCAGCAAGCTCCCTACCAGTTCTAAAGATAAAAAGCGGCTTAGGCTCAGAACCTCCCATTGCCCCCCAAAAATGATTTGGCCCCACTCTTGACTGCGCTGCTGGGAGTAGCTAGCTACATGCCAGCAACAAGTGACCCACCAAAGGGCTTGTGGGAGGCGGAGCCCGGTCCTCTCCCCACCCCTCGGAGGCCAGGGTTGGGGAGGGTGCTGGAAGGCTGAGAGGAATCAGTGGTCTGCCATTACTGGGCTTGGGGTCTAGGGCCTGAGCAAGAAGGCCACTGCCCCAGCATACAAGGGAGGGGGGGGACTGGAGGGAGACAGAGCGGCGATGCAGCTGGGGGGGTGGGGGGCCTCTCAAACTCCTTCTCGGTATAATGAGGTCAATGCACGGTATTTCTAGGTGTGAGCTGGCCCTGGGGCTCTCGCGCGCAGTGGTCCCGGTGATGTCCTCGGGAAGAAGCACGCTTCGTGGTGCTGAGGGGACAGTCTCCCTCCTGGGCCCTGCCCAGACGTTCGCTGCGGGGAGTCGCGGGCGGGCTCTGGACAGAGGCCCCGGGAAAAAGTTGCACGCGTCTCCAGCGAACTTCGCGCGCCCCGCGGCTCGGTGCTGCCCGCGGGGACCCGCGTTCTCCCTCTGACCACTCCCGGCCCGCCGGACCCGAGCGCAAACCAGCCCGGGTGTTGGGGGGTGCCGCCGCAGGCGGGGCGAGGCCCCTTACCATCTCCACCTGGCGGGGGTCGAGCTGGCTGGGGGGCGCGGGCACGGAGAACTGGATCTTCTTGCGGTCCTTGGGGTCCATGGCGGGCTGGGCGGCCGGTAGGGCCGGGGGCGCACGTCTCGGGGTCCCGGGCGCCGGTCGCGGCTCGGCTCCCCCGCGCTGCTCCGGGCGTCGCGCTGACAGCGGGCTGCGTGCGGCGGGGAGGAGGGCTGTTCACGCACAGATAAAAATACCGCGCTTGGCGAGGTGGGGCGCGAGCGCGGGAGGAGGGGTCGGCGCGCCCGGCTCGTAGCTCCGCGCCCCCAGCTCGCCTCGCCGCCGCGCGTGCTGCCCGGGTCCGCGCCGCTGGCCGCCCTCCGCCTCTCGTCTCCTGCGGCCCGTCTCCCTCCTCTCTTTCCCTCTGAGGGTCTTTAGAGGACTTCTCCCTGACTCCCGCCCTCCCGCGGGCTCCCCCTCTCTGCCTCGCGCTTCCTTTCCGCGTCTCCCTCTACCTCTCTCTCTCTCCTGGGCTCGCCCCTTGGGGTACCCTGCTAGTCCGTCTCCTCGGCCTGGGACTGGCCCCGGGTGATTGGTGGGAGGGCTTAGGAGAAAGTGGCCAATGAGCACCCAGATCTGTGTTCTCCACGGGGCTGGGAGGAGGGTGGGGAGCGAGAGCCAGCGCTGGGGGAACAGGCTGGGGACCCCCTGCGGACTCCCCTGAACTTGAAGCTGCATTATTAATGGGAGTCCAGCCGGGAGGCTCACGGGGAGGGGGGGAGGGGCAGTGGCGCCTCGGGACTCTGGCATTAACCTCTTCTTGGCCTGAACACTTGGAGTTTCACAGGGAGACCTGTGAGGTCGGGCGGAGAGAGTAGCAGCATGTCACGCTGTGAATGGGGGTGTCCTAGAAAGCGTGTGAGTGTGAACGAGCGCGTTGATCGTGGGAGGACATGTGTCAGTCATTATGGCAAGGAGTGTGTGTGAGTGCCAGGGAGCCTTGTTGCCTATAGCTGGGAGGAGGGGGGAGGGTCGGTGTGATGTGAGTGTGCGCGCGCCTCTGTGTGAGTAAGTGTGTCGGTGTCAGGGATGCGGGAGTGAGTGGCAGGGTGTGGGAGGACGGCTCGTGTGTGCGGGGCGGGTGTGGGTGTGGGGGAGGATGTCAGAGGCTGTCAAGGTGATGGGCAGGCATGTACCAGTTTGCAGGGGGTGGGGGCACTGTCTCCACATTTCTTGAGAGCTTGGGTAGCAGGGGGGCATGAGGTTGTGAAACTGGGGGGCCCTGAAATGATGTACCTTGAACACCCTAGTCTCTTGTCTTTTCTGTCCAGAGTGAGCCAGGCCAGGGCATAGAGTTAGGGTGTCAGGGCTGTCATCACATGTGTGCATTTGGGAACAGAGAGGGAAGAGAGGTGTGTGTGTTCATTTCTGAGGTGTGTGAGTCCCTCTCTGTGCAAAGGTGTCTGTGGGTCTCCGGAGGGGAGGAAGGAGAGGCGGGGGCGCTGCAGGTTGGAGTGTCCCTGTTTATTTTCCCAGGCCTTGGCCCCTGGTGTCCTTGAGAAGCGGGTATTTCCTCCTGTGGGGCTCTGCGTGGGGGCCTGAATGCCTCTCTGTAGCACAGAGTGCAGTGCATGCCTGGCCAGGACATGGTCATATGTGTCTTCCTGGGGCTCTGTTTATGTTGGCTGTTTCTCTTCTGGTCACGCTCAGGCTGGGAGCAGCCAGGAGACCTCCCTGCCCCCCAACTCCTGCAGCAACTTTTCCATTCCCAGTCCGAGCCTTCTGGGTCCCTGGTGGAGCAAGACGCCAGAAGAGTCTTGTGAAAATGGGGCAGAGGTGCCGTGTTCAGACACAGGTTCTCTGTCTACTCTGAGGGGGAAGGAGAGGGTGGCCACAGGGCAGAGCTTTGCTCATGGGACAGAGAAGTCTTGGCCTCCCAGATCCACATCCACAACCAAACCCTGGCTCAACTCCTGGTGTGTTTGTTGACCTAAGTGCTTGTAGGAAATAGCCTAATGCCTATTTGCTGGCCCTGGGTGTGGGCATCTCTGGCAGTGCCGACTTTATCCCAGAAGTGGCAAAGACCATTTTGGCAAGGCCATAGAAGGGGCATAAGCTGCCACCGGGTCACAGTGTGGGCTTGTGACCTCCAGACCTGGGGGATAAATACAAGGATCCTTGAGAGGAATGGGATCAGGGGCAGCTGAGCAGGTGGGTGGTCAAAGGCTAGAGACAGCAGCAGCATCACCAATCACACTCAAATCTGAAAAAGGCCTTTGGGGACCCTGTGGCTGAGCCTAATTTGACTAGGGAGGATTTGTTTATGGAGGATTTGCCAAAAGTATTGGTGCTCTGGGAGGCTCTGAATCAGAAAAAAATTCCCCTGGTCCCAGGCTGAAGCAGCTGGGAAGAGAGAAAAAGGCAGAGAATCTTCTCTCTTGCAGGCAGGGTCAGAAGATGACAGAAACTTTGGGATGGAGGGGAGGGTTTTGACCCACTTCACCAGCTTTTGCTTATGCACCCTTGACTGCACAAACCCAGAGGTGGGGAAGATGGGCTGACACAAGTTCAGACAGAGGGACAGAGGGAAAATAAAGAAAGCTGGAGGGGCACAGAGACAGGAATTGTGAGAGAGATAAACAAGAAGGTGGAGAAAGGAGAAAAGGATGAGATCAAGAAAGCTCTGGTGAAAGATGAAGAGATAGAGCCAGGCAAGGGGAGAGAGGAAGCCTCGCAAGAAGGGAGAGAGGCAGGAGACAGAGATGGAGAGAGTAAAAATAGCTCAGCATTAAGATAATTGCAGCCCACAGCTCTGCCCTCCGTTAGGAATTAAATGAGGTTTTATTACTTTGATTTTTCTCTCCTGGATCCTACGCGACTTCTCAAGAACTTGGGGAAAAGTTTTTCGAGTGGGCGGCCAGATTGCGGGGGCTGTGTGGGCGATGGAGGAGGAAGCGGGAGGAGGAAGGGAGCGAGACTTCTGGAAGCTGGGGGAGGAGGGACAGGGGCAAAGGGTGGGCAGGGGCTAATGGAGCCCAGTCTGGACTGGGGAGGAGGCCAGGGCCTGGTGCGTGTCTGAGGATGAGAAATGAGGGGCCTGGGTGACCTCTATTCACTCTGACTTAGAATTAATCACATGCAAATGAGATGTAAAAATAATATGCCACTCCTCGGTTATTATTCTTGAGTTTAAAGCACTGGCAGGCAGTTGGGTCCAAAGAACAAACTCAAGACCTTGTTTGACTTAACTCTGATTGAACTATGGGTCGGTCTTTCTGCTTGGTTTACTGCAGCACTGATTAAAAAAAAATGTTTACCACGGAGGATGTCTATTAATGTGCCTTAGCTGTGGGTACAGTATTTTGAGACTGGTTCTTCATTTATCTTCCTATCACTGGCCAGTATCCGCTGAGCTACGTTCATCTTTTCTAGAAGGTGAGTTTGGAAGGGTGGTGTAAGCAAGTGCACTCTTTCCCAGAGATGGGAAGAATAAAGAATCCAAAATACACACACACACACACACACACACACACGCACACACACACACACACACATGTTTTAATGTGCACAGAACAGACTAGAGAGTTCAACAAACCAAATATTCATCTCATGTCTGTAATTTACCATGTGACCTTGTCCTGTATCTCATTTTCCTCAAGTTTCCAAGCCTACCTCACATGGTAGCTGTGATAATGAATACTCAGCCCTTTGGTAGGTTTTCAATGGATTCCAGCTTCCCAAGAGCTTAGGGAGTGTAGTTCTGAGGATGGCCAGCAAGTGGCGCAGTCGGCTAGGGTTTGGCGGCTGCGCCGCTGGCACTGCGAATCTAGAGCTGGGCATCACACCCATGACCTTGGCATTACCGAGCTGAGCTGGAACTGGCCAGGTTGGCATGTGGCAGCTGGAAAGGAGGCACCAGGAAGCCCAAAGAAGCATCCTGAGAGGAGCCAGGATCACTGACTGGGCACACTGGGGCACTTTTCTTGGCACTGAGCAGCTCCAAGTTTTGCCTATGGGGAATTTTTAGCTCTCAAGAGGGGAGGGCAAGAGCACCCTCAGCTGGGTGGCAACAGGACAGGTGGGCAATCTTGAGACACTCATTTACAGACTTCATTCATGCATCCACTTAATCCTTCTATAAATGTACCCTTTGTTGTCTTGTAAAAAATTCTTTAGTATATTAGAACTTGTTGTTAGGGACTGTGGAGTCCACTCCAATTCATGGTGAACTCATTTGCAACAAGATGAAACACCGTGAATCCTGCACCATCCTAACATTCTCTGTTGTGCGTAAACTCATTGTTATAGCCACTGTGTCAACCCACCTTGCTGAGTCTTCCTCTCTTTTGCTGACATAGAGTTAATGCACCTGTAGTGCTGTGAACAAAATATACTCCTATGTGTGACCACCAGCACAATCCAGATAGAGAACAATTTCATCCTATCCAGAGAGACAATCTAAGTCAGCCCTCCTCCTTCCCCTCACTGAGCATATAACTGTATCATTGTTGTTGTTAGATGTATGTTGTTGTTGTTGTTATATGCCATCGAGTCGCTTGTGACTCATAGTGACCCTATCTACAACAGCCCTATACCCTGCTCTATTCTGTGCCAATTTTATTGTCTCTGATATACCCACTCCCATTATCCCAATCACTGAATCAGTCCTTCTAATTGAGGGTCTTCTTCTCCTGCGCTGTGCCTCCACCCTCCCAAGCATGACATCCCTCTCCAAAGACTGGTGCCTCCTTGCAACATGTCCAAAGTATGTCAGAAGAAGCTTCAGAATCCTTGCCTCCAAGGAGCAGCCTGATCTAACCCTCTCTATGATGAATCTGTTTGTTCTCCTAGTCATCCACGGTATATTCAACATTCTTCTCCAGCACCACAGCTCAAAGGCATCAATACTCCTTCTATCATTCCTAGTCATTGTCCAGCTTTCTGATGTATAGCAAGTTAGATGCAAAGAGACGCTATAAACAATAGATCAAAACCTTGCCCTGTCCTGTATCATCCTCACAACCTCTGACATGCTCAAGTTCATTGTTGCAATCACTGTGTCAGTCCATCTTGTGACAGGTCTTCCACTTTCATTGACCCTCCAC